AAACGAATTCTCTGGCTCGAATGGTTCTTGAGAAACTTCGAATAAAGGCCATTTAGTTATCTCTGGAATGATGTAAAAACGAGCGTTCTTGCTCACTTTGCTTCCGGGAAACATGCAAAACGGGACGGAAAACATAAAATTTTGCAATAATCGTGCGCCACCCTTGCACAAAACGACGATAATTTTTCTAATCTCGCTTTGGGCGGCACCAGCCTAAAAATTTCTAACTCGAAACTGCGAGCAGGTTGGAACTTGAAGCTTGCACACCCTGTAGAGGACACATGTTTCTCCAAATGCTGAAACGTTTATTGAAATCGGAATAAAACCTGAATTTTGCTCGCCCTGTAAGCTCAAGTGTATAAATGAGGTTTTCACTTTACTGCACGCTGTTGATTAAAAATTCGCAGCTTTCCATTGAGGCAATCTGGCAACTTGAAAACTTCAAACCTTACATAAAACACTTCACTCTCCTAATGTGGAACTTTTTGTTCGAATAGCGGAAAAATTTGATTTTTGCCCTCATTGTAAGCGGTGGTGTTCAAGTGGGTAATTGTTCTAAAGAAAGCCCTCTTCTTTAAAAAGCTCTAACTTCCCATCCAGAGCAGACAGCAACTGAACATTTGCATGCCTTATAGAAAACAAATGACTCTWCAAATACTGAAAGTTTCATTTCAATCGCACTRAAACCTGATTTTTACGCGCTTTGTAATCGAAGGTGAAACTTTTTCCTCTGACCTGCACCCTCCCGGTTAAAAATACGTAACTGGAGGAGACACTTRTCTCTCCCAAAGCGARAAACTTGYCGCAAATGAAACAGCAACAAAAAGCTAACATACTATATTCCATACACACAAATCGCCCAATTTTGAAATTTTCTACATCAGTCTGCCTGTTAATGGTAAGGTACCTCAAGGCCCAATCAGGTACACATGAACAGGAAAAAGTCCTAAATTCCACCAACACTACTGCTTGTATTGGCCGCTGTAATCCTGCTCGATCTGGTTGGCGTTCCTCTGGCTCTCTGGGTGCTCCTTTGCCTCTCTTTCGTCAGCCTCCTGCAGGAAAAGCTTGATTTAGCTCTGCTCGATGAAGCAGAGAGCAAGTTTTTTGTACCTGTTGGGCTTTGATTCCTGCATAGATCAAATCCAGCCCCTTCTGGACTTCGGGGCTTACGGGTGGAGGAGTGGGCAGATGGTCGCCCGACGCATGGAAGCCCCTTTCGTCTGCCACATAGTTTACTGTGATAATTTGCCCATCCGGAGCAGTATAGGTGTAGGAACCTTGTTGCACTTGGGCGTTAATCACTCCTCCCTCCTGGTCCGGATCAGGGCCCAGTTCCTTCAAGAAACCCTCCTCTTGAGCCAGGATGTTGTTGCCAGTTTCCCATCTGTGTGACATTCAAATGTTGCCATTTCCCGCAGCTTTATCAGTTCCAGCTACTTACAAAGCCTTATAAGAACCATCATTGCCCTGCTCTTTGTCGAACCTGATGATGGGAATTGGTGTGGTCACCTCTCGCTGTCTGGGCTGAGTTTCTTGTGCAGCTGCTGTTTGCTGCTGATCTTCATACTGTTCGCTTTGGAAACCCTGCGGTCTTTTCTGAGCGACTACCACGCTGAGGGTGATGGTGAGGAGAATCTACAAAACAATCAAAATTCATAGTTCATTTGATGCTAATTTTTCAGATATTCTTGCATCCTGGCGCAAAACACCACTTCTTTTGTGATCCATACATGTCACTATTTTCCATTATGCAAGATAATAATAATCAATGGAATAATGATAATGACAATACCTGAAATAATAAAGCCAAGGTGCAAAAACAACAAAATAAACAGGAGACACTTTGTTGATATGATCTGCTACGTCACAATCGGGATAGGCAACCGACGATACGGGTTCGGCGTTTTTGGCGGAAAATATCTGATTTGAATTTATATTCGCTTTAAAATCATTTTGAAGACTTTTTTGCAAAAAAATTATATCAACATTAAAAAAAGTGAGTCAAAGAAAGAATTCCCACTGGCTTTAAGGTTGAAACCACTCTAAAACGTGCATTAATCATTACTCCAACGCGGAAACCAGTCCATAATATTCCTCAGGTTTTATTGCTAATAAGCTGATGCATCTTGCAGACTTACGTAAGCGCCATCGAGTTGTGCAAGCAATTTCGCAACATAATCGATAGGCGGTTTCAGTATTTGCAAAACACCCACAGGCGACGCGAAGAAATTGAGGGTTTTAATATCAGATCGACATCAAGAAGCGCCATTATATAACGCAAATTTGCCAGCAAAACGATCATCCTTGAAACCTGTCCAGGCACTTTCTTCTTCTGTAAGCGCCAAGGATTCTTCGGGCGCTGTTTCTTCATTCAATGTTCGAAAGGTCAGCTCAGTAATCAGATTATGCATAATCGGAATTGCATATTYATKTCCTACCTAGAAGATCTTCCYCTTAAATGGCAACTATTCATAGCATGTGTTGCAAYTATTTACTGGGCGATTCAACAAGGGCTGCTTCTCCTCAGCYAAAATTGTCTTATTTTCCTTAGACTAACTAATTGCTGAATGGAGRAAGCCTCATCAATTGAAATCTGTTTAACCTGATTTGTGTATAAGCAAGATTTTTTACATAATACTCGGTAAATTGGGAAGAAAGCGAGTGTTTTGSTGCTGGAACTAATGGTGTTTTGGCAAAAAAATCTCAGTGCACCTGGAGKTTCGCCATTGTTATAAACAGACACTAAAATAGTGTTTTAGTGAGTCCCAGAATTTTCAAAAAATTTCCATTGCCTATTTAAAATGGAAYAATCAAACCGGACCGTGAAAGTGAAAATAKTCTTTTCGTMCACTTACCARCACTTTCATGATGACCGRGAGAKGAAGAAAGGCCACACACAGATCACTCGCGCGTAGCAGATCGGAGCACAGTGTCGGACATCTGCGGGCCATGGCTTTTATACGGCCCCCCCGAAGTCCATCGAAAAATTGTAACATCTTTCAAATATCAACCGATCATCGGTTTATGCAACAGCCCATGGAATTTTCACCGATCAGAAATCTGATGGGTTCGTTTCGCCATACAGTGTGGCCCAGAGTCCTTTGGACGCAGTCTGCTTGGACTTCTTCAACGTTGAAGATGTAGAAGAATGTCGTGAGGATGCTTGTCCATGCCCTTAGGTAGATGAACCAAGTGTAAGTGTTAGGGACATGGACGTTGCTATTGAAGAAGAAAAATAGGTGAATAACTCAATGTGACCATCTCCACTATTTAACATGGTCGAATATCAGTCAAAGACTTTAAAGAGCTACTAACGAGCACATAAAAGTCTTCGAGTTACCATCCCTTACCATGAAGAAATCTGAAAAAATCAAGGATATTAAATCGGGCGATCGTGCCGGCCAAGTTCTACTATAGTTTCCCTGTTGAGCCCAAGGGGGGGAGGTCATGGGGGTCATGACAAGCAAGCCCCCCCCCATTCAATTCTCTATCCAACGATGCCAAAACGAATTCTCTGGCTCGAATGGTTCTTGAGAAACT